CTGGACCAAATGGCCACTTCACACTGACCTGCAACCTGTGTAGCATAATTTCTCAAACTCACAGCTCATGATACGTGTCTCCTTGTACAAATAAACCTATCCCATTAGTCACCATAATACTGAGAAATTTGAAGACTATTTTTTATTTTAAATATTATTTCCCTTTGTTCTCATCAATCTTAATAAGATTATTCTCTGTCTGTCATGATGCTTCTTAATATGTCACCCTTCTACATCATCATCAGTTTCTGACATCGATTGAAAAAAAAAAATTATGACAACCTTTCACATATTACATATCACAGAAGACAGTTTCCTGTACTCCTGCTCTGTACTGCAATGTAGGGAACTGTCTTTATATTTTAAAGCAAATGAAATTCTACCATCTCAGTTTCAACAGATGTTTGAGAAACAACGTCCTCTTTACCTCCAGCAAAGGGAAAATTTAGTAGTTCCTTGCTATGTTTTCTGTACAGTGAAAGCAACGTGGGGCAACAAATGTGGTTCATTATCACAATGACCAATTGAAGTAGTGGCTCTAACAACACTGGTTTATCAGTCGGGCGCATTGTACTTCTCTGACTCACTGCCAATTTGCAACTGTGCCCTTACACTGATCTGAAGTTCAGCTTCATTTAGACTCACAGTACTCATTCTGCAATGTGTCTAGCTGTGAAACAACTCCGTTTTGTATAGAGAAACAGAGTTGCCATAATTCTCAAAAATGTGAAATAACTGAGATTTGAGGTTCTCACGGTGGTGAATATGCAGATGGCTGTCTTCTGAACTGCTCCACCATGTAGTCTGGTAGAAGTTTATTGATGTCTGAAGGCAGCAAGCACCTATGAAACATAAGTAAACTTCTACCGGACTACATGGTGGAGCAGCTCAGAAGACAGCCATCTGCATGTGAAATAATATTTGTCTCTGTTAAATCTTCTTCACCTTTGTTTCTGCTTAACTTACTAAGATGAATCTTTGTTTCTCCAAGAATCTATTATGTCAGTTTTATACAGAGCCATTAGCTACTGGACTCTACCAACAAATAAATAAACCACAAGCAAACATGGCACAAAAGCAAATTTCTTAAATTCGCAATGCAGCGTCGCAGCCGCAGAAGATGTCTGTAAGCTCATACTGTGAATGTACAGTGTATTTGCAATGTCTAGAATAAGTGAGAAAAATTTTCTGTTCCAGCAATTCATGGCACTCAATTTAAAATAACATATTGTGATTGTATTTTTATGCAGATGGGAAGGATGGACACAAAGAAAACAAAACATACAGAAGCCCACTATCTCAATACATTGTAGCAAACCTTCTGAAAAAATCTAAATAAACAAGTCTGGTAGCCAAATGTTGTGAATGGCGCACAAGAGGTGATCATAGTAAATTAATCACACACACAAATATGATACCAAGGTTCCAAACATCACCATTCATCAGTTTTCAATAGATGTTACAGACAGACAGACATGTCAAAATTTTTCAGTGGTTTCTAAATAACATAAGACAAATGTGGCCTTCCTATAACACACAATATTTCTTTTCCGTCATACCAGGTTCTGGATGATAGCATCATGTGGACATTTGCTACACTGTCAACATTTCAAAGGCCATACTGTATCCATCATCAGGGTTGAAGGGAGTAATGTCAAAATGCAGCTATCCCTATACAAACCAGCCTTTCCTCAACATTCACCATTTCATCCCTAACAATACAGGCAGTATGTGTGATGAAATGACGGCAACGCATCCAACTTCACCGGCACCCAAAAAGCAGGTTCAACATCCATATCTTCTGCCAACGATGGCAGAAGATATGGTTTCTTAGCCATTCAGGCACCTGACATGGCTTGTAACCCAAGAGTCTTTCATCAACTTCAGTCGCCGTGAAAGCCTCACTTTATACATACATAATGAATCGCTGTGAAACCTTAAAATTGGTAAGAGTTAATTTACATTAATGGAGAAGTCAACAAACAAAACTGCCTCTACTTGTCACAAGAAAAGCAATTAAGGAGTAAGAAGTTGCACAGCTGATGATTTAGTGCAATGTATGCGACTCTCACGTTATCAGATGCTTCTTCCTCTGATGTCATCAATGGAGAAAGTCACATATGCATCTTAGGACAGAAGCTCATACTCCCGGATAGTTACAAATTTATAACAGAGATGGAATTATCAAAGACAGCCAACGGAATGGGCACCAAGATAATCCGAATTAATTCCAATACGTCCCTGTGTGCAGTTGCCCGAAATCGTGGAGTTACTCACTAGCGTTTCGAACAATTCAAGCGGGATTAAATTAACTTTGGTTTACAACATCGTTCTGATACTAGTGGAGGATTATCCGACAAATACTATCCTGTGAAATAAAGTGCTTTCCAACTGATTCAAGACTTCAAGGACATCTTATTAAGAATTCCTACTCATTACTCTGCTAGCACAGAGATCACACTCAACAGAACGGCTGACCTGGGACTGCGTCCAATGTGTCTCCACATTACGTATATGACAGCTGCCCCGATCAGGCTGTACTCTATGATAAATGGGAAGAGGTATGGGGCAGAGTCCTGTACAATGGAGCCCATAATGTTGACACGACCACATGCAGGAACAGAGTCCATTGTGACATTGCTGGTGAGGGCCTGTGGTAACAGACTGGCTATGTTCTCTGCCTCTGTAGGGCTGCCAGATCCTGCAACAGACATACATTTTTTGAAGTGAACATTTGACATGTCTCCATAAATAGGAAGAATGCAGTTGACTTGGACAATGCCACAGTCAGCCACACAAAAATAGTCATTGACATCTTTTAAACTTCATCTATATAAGATTTAGAAATGTGGCTGACATTCAAAGAAAAGACACCACATTTCCATTAATTACAGAGGTAACTCAGGTATGACGCGTAGGTAAATGAACACCATTCCTTGTGAGAATGAAATTAAGTCTGTGCACTTAATGCACAGTTACTGATATTCAGTTCATATGAAGCAAAAACTTATCACTGCCCTCAGATAAATGAATGTAAACACATTACAGAATTTATCCATCACAAGGCAGAAATGCGAATTTTCAAAAATTATTCAGTTTTGTTTTTTTATACAGAACAGGCACAAATGTGTGTATTTTAAACACCTGGCAGTAAAGGTAACAAAGGGCAATCAATTGCATAAAACATTTTTGTGAAAAGTGGAATTTAAGATAAATTTAGCTAAGAGATAGAAAGTAGTGTTTATGAAGAGAGGGAAACCGAGTAGGAATGGAAAATGGTGGTGGGATGGAGCGGAGATATACGAGGTAGGTAGTGAAGAAAACAAAATACTTATGCAGCGGTACATGGCAGAAAAAGAGAAAATGGGTAATAATCAGGGGGGAAACAAGCTTTAAGTAGTATTAATATATATAGCTAGAGCACCAAACATTGGCTTCAAACTTTTAGAGCACGGGTGGAAATTCGATGATTGAAAGATGGATCGAAAGAGAAAGTGGATATCCACGAGTTATTCTGTAAAATAGTAATGGCTGTGCTAAACATGGCAGCAAATGGAGTACGTGTGAAAGAACTGGTAACAACAAGTACAAAGCAGAGAGTGGCAGAGAGAGTCCTTAGATACTGGCTATGGCTGTGGGAAATGGATGAAATGAGCCTATCGGAAGATGCGTTAAAACAACAAAGTTCGGAGAAAGAGAACAACTGGCTGAATGAAATAAAACATCAATTATAAATACTCAGTATGGGGCATGAGCGGAGAAGTGAATAACAGAAATGTATGCAGAGAAGCAAACAAAATGTGACTGGACGTTGACAGACGAAAGACGGAAGCCAGCACGAGAGAAAACAGGTCACTGGTATTCTACAGTGAAGGACTTTTGAGGTTATACCCAATAAATTTAACACACACCAAATTTGTACTTAATAAATTCTATGAAAATAACATTAGTAATATGCACAATAAGAATTGTAATGGCAGTAGTATTTATTACTGTTGTTATTATTACTGTTGTTGTTGTTGTTGTTGATTTAGCAGTAGTGGTTACAACAACAATCTGTAACATATTTACAATTGGAAGCAGAAAAGAAATCTGACTCAAGCAGGATTTGACGCTATGACCGCCAATGCACAAGTTCAGAACAATAACTTAAATTAATGTAAGATTTGAGGTTCTCACAGCGGTGAATATGAAGATATCTGTCTTCTGGGTTGTTGCGCTGTGTAGTCTGGTCGATGTTAACCAACGTTTCAGAGGTCATACTGCATATTCATCGCCCTGATGACGGAGGCAGTATGACCTCTGAAACGTTGGTTAACATCGACCAGACTACACAGCGCAACAACCCAGAAGACAGATATCTTCATATTCACCGCTGTGAGAACCTCAAATCTTACATTAAATTTTATTGCTGGCGGAATGTCGGAAGCCTGTAAAGGTTGGCTTCCTTGAAAACAGTATTAAGATAATTAGAAAAATATGAATTAGATTTAGCGGAAGTACAAAGCAAACAGAACAAGTCTGGCAATGAAGCAACACACATCTGTACATTCTTCTAAGGAAACGGGAAAGCTATTCATCAATTAGGGACAGGATTCTTCACATGTAAGGGTATCGTATAAGCAGTTTAAGAAGGTACATTTTGTTAGTTATAGGATGCAAAAAATACTAAGAGGTCAGGTTAATATTGTTCTGAATGTGCCTGCACCACCTGAGGATAAATGTGATGATAAAAAGAACAGCTTTATGAGGAACTAGAGTGGGTGTTATAACAATTCCATGAGAACCGCGGTGAAATATTATTAGGAAATTCCAGTGCAAAGGTGGGGATGGGAGATATTTTAAAACCAACAAGTGAGAATAGAATTTACACAGAATTCCACTGATGGAAGGTCAGAATGATCACATCTTTATAGAAAGAAAATGACAATCAAGTATACTGGATGCATGACCTCTCAGAGGGGCTGACAGTTGTACTGACCACTATTTGGTTGTTACAGAACTTATGATGAGATTTTTGGTAAATAAACAAGGAGCACAAAAGCCTGATAAGCAGAAATTTTGTTTCAAAGAGCTATACAATGCATAAATTAAGGAAAAGTATCAGGTCAAAACCTTGAAGAGGTTTGCAGCCTTGAAAACTTGAAGATAATGTGGACATCAACAGGGCTTGAGAAAATATAACAGAGAACATCAAAATTTCAGCATAAACAAAGAATGTTCACAATTATTGACGATAAAAACTCAGGCTAAATACAAACAGCAGTGGCTTCAGAATCCTAGCCAAAAGAATGGATACAACATGGGCAAAGCAAGACACAAATCAAATAGAACTCTGACCAAAGATGAATAAAATCAACGAGCCTCAAACATCAAAAATAAAACTACCAAGAGACGTACACAGAGGAATAAATAACTATAAGAAGGGTCACCTACTTAGAACTAACTTGGTAAAAGATAAGAATAATGATCTGCTTGCAGCTTCTCAGAGTACTTCAAATCAGAGGAGGAAGAATTACTTCTCCCAGATACTTAATATACATGACATTGAAAAACAGTTGCCAAAGCTTTTGGGCAGAGGTGGTTGCCATTAACACTCATCAGAGATGAAACAGGTTACCTGTTCCTTTACCAAACTCTAGAAAAAAATTAGAACATGTTTAAAAATATAAATTAGACATAACATATATGGTAGTGCCACAAGAAGACTCACTGCAGAGCTAATCTTGAAACTAGGAAATGGGATTTGGATGCCATTACAGCCCTGCCTCATCTCTTGCTCTTATCAAGGAATTTTTCCATGTGTACGCAAATTAAAAACTGTGCATATATAAAGCCAAATATCATAACTGGATACAAATGGAAAACTATGGAAACTTGAAATATGTTGGTTTGTGAGGGATTTCCACATATGAACTTCTATTTCTGACACAGGATATTGTTATGCGCTTATGGGAAATACGAAATTTAATACAGGACTTCACTGTAGACAACACAAGTGAATATGAGTCAGTTCTAAAGGGTTCTGCCGATGCTGGATTACATTTAAAATTATTCACAATCTGGAACCACTATTTGGTTGTTACAGAACTTATGATGAGATTTTTGGTAAATAAACAAGGAGCACAAAAGCCTGATAAGCAGAAATTTTGTTTCAAAGAGCTATACAATGCATAAATTAAGGAAAAGTATCAGGTCAAAACCTTGAAGAGGTTTGCAGCCTTGAAAACTTGAAGATAATGTGGACATCAACAGGGCTTGAGAAAATATAACAGAGAACATCAAAATTTCAGCATAAACAAAGAATGTTCACAATTATTGACGATAAAAACTCAGGCTAAATACAAACAGCAGTGGCTTCAGAATCCTAGCCAAAAGAATGGATACAACATGGGCAAAGCAAGACACAAATCAAATAGAACTCTGACCAAAGATGAATAAAATCAACGAGCCTCAAACATCAAAAATAAAACTACCAAGAGACGTACACAGAGGAATAAATAACTATAAGAAGGGTCACCTACTTAGAACTAACTTGGTAAAAGATAAGAATAATGATCTGCTTGCAGCTTCTCAGAGTACTTCAAATCAGAGGAGGAAGAATTACTTCTCCCAGATACTTAATATACATGACATTGAAAAACAGTTGCCAAAGCTTTTGGGCAGAGGTGGTTGCCATTAACACTCATCAGAGATGAAACAGGTTACCTGTTCCTTTACCAAACTCTAGAAAAAAATTAGAACATGTTTAAAAATATAAATTAGACATAACATATATGGTAGTGCCACAAGAAGACTCACTGCAGAGCTAATCTTGAAACTAGGAAATGGGATTTGGATGCCATTACAGCCCTGCCTCATCTCTTGCTCTTATCAAGGAATTTTTCCATGTGTACGCAAATTAAAAACTGTGCATATATAAAGCCAAATATCATAACTGGATACAAATGGAAAACTATGGAAACTTGAAATATGTTGGTTTGTGAGGGATTTCCACATATGAACTTCTATTTCTGACACAGGATATTGTTATGCGCTTATGGGAAATACGAAATTTAATACAGGACTTCACTGTAGACAACACAAGTGAATATGAGTCAGTTCTAAAGGGTTCTGCCGATGCTGGATTACATTTAAAATTATTCACAATCTGGAATTTTTCCATTGTCCTTGTTTGAAAGAAAGAAACCATGAGATTTCAGAAACTGACTGTGTTTCCATCTTCAGGCGAGAGGTATGTACTCAGGGACGGAGACTAGCTCTATCTGACGGACCCAACTCAGTAGGTACCTTCCCTCTCACCTGAAGACGGAAACATAGCCAGTTTCTGAAACGTCGTGGTTTCTTTGTTTAAAACAAGGACGATGGAAGAAGTCCAGACAAGTGAATATGGGTTAGACAGGAACACACAACAAATGGGAAACTGATATAACACAGACTCAAATGTTTGGCTTAATGTCCATAATAGTTCTTCTATCAGAATTCTGTACTCAGTGGAGGGAGCCATTAAATTTTTTGTATAGTGCATACAGTATTTAGAATAAACCATTTCTCTTATAGAAATGGTTCTGCAATAGTTCAGACACAGTATTTTCCAAAAGAAAAGGGCATAGCCAGTACTACCTTGTTAACACATAACTAACATTAGATCAAGCCGGCATAAGCAGTTGTAATTATTTAGCAAGCTAAACTCTGATAATC